TTTTTTACCGTTGACCCAGCAAACACCCGGCGGGGACATAGTAAGAAAATATTCAAGCTCAGGGCACACACATCCGTTAGACAAAACTTTTTTTCATTTCGGGTAGTAGCTGCGTGGAATGACCTTCCTCCGACGGTTGTCCACGCTCCTTCTCGAACCCAATTTAAAGCACTATTAGACACTTAGCTATGCGAATCCTCGCGCTGGCAAGCATACTGCCTCGCGCTTAGAACATAAAGAGCAGTGCCACACCCTTTTTCACTTGTGCCTTCAAGGTGAACGACAGCCACTGACCGACAAAAACAAAAGCGACCCGGGAAACTTGGGCGAAAGCCTGGATCCTATGTATCAATCCGTGAATCCGTGAATTGTGTGATGCGAAACCGAATCAAATGCTTTCGAGATATCAAAAAACGCCAAGCTAAGGTTAGAAGCAGTGGCTGAAGAGCAAAGAAGCAGTGGATGCAACAGTGATGTGGCTTCCGAACAGCCGTATCAATGTAGAATTGCAAACTGAAGTGGGGATAGTTGCAATCTACGACTCCAGCGATCAGCAGGCACTTTTTGGAAGCAACGATCAAGAATGGATGACAAGGAGGTTGATCTCAGTTGATCCGGTGAATTCATATTTGGGACCTTCGGAAATAGGGTAATACGGGAACAACACAGATCTGGGAGACAACCCCCAGATGATAACAATAAGTTGAAATACTCAGTGAGAAGGTTAGCACTGAGGGCGGGCACTCATTCGGGCAATGCAGACAAAAACTGACAACACCACTAACGTCCACTAGTAGCTGCATCTTATTTTATTTAACCGCAGTGGAGAAAAAACTGACAACACCACTAACGTCCACTAGTAGCTGCATCTTATTTTATTTAACGAGGCGCAGTGGAGACCACGCAGTCTCCATCCTAGAATTCGAGTTGCATCAACAACACCTGGGCCTCCTGTAATTTCTTTTGTACCCCACTGTCAAATCAAAGGCTAACCACCTCCATTTTCTGCCACCCTGAGTTGGGCAAGCAAAACAACACTCCCTAAGGCAAATGATGATTCGGCGCACGCCGTACATTGCTTCACCAACGCAGCTTCTGGTGCTAAACACATTTCCCGTGAAAGCTTCCGACGCTAAACAGAACACTCGCTTCCAAACGGCCTCGTCGCCGATTCCCCCGCAGCAACCTACACGACAAACGGTTCTGAGATAACGGTTGACGAACACATGAAGGCCTGCACGTGAAGGCCACAACTCACAGCCACAGAAAACAAATCATCTGCAGTACAAAGCCGCCAGGTGATCGGAAAATTTTTTCGAGACCAGACTCTACATGAGGGAGAGCAATTTGACAACCCAAAATAACCTAATTAAATACTGGCTTACGTTTTATATAGATAGATGGTGTGGAGATGAATTGAACTTCTGTGATCCTCGCCGAATGTCCAGGATGCGAACAGTCCGGTAGAAAGATGAGATGTTAACGACACGTTCGTTGGAGGATCCGGAACGTCTTCAATAGAACCAATTATGACCAAACATATAAATTACCTTGCACAACGACTTCTGACGTTGCATTGTATTGAAGACTATCGAGCGAATACGCAGTACAGGAGTAACTTCCTGAATCTGCAGCGGTTGCGTTCCACACACTGAGTGTCTTTTCCGAATTTTCTGAGCCTGATCCGTAGGGAACCTTCGTATTGTCTGGTGTCCGCCAGATAACCAGAGTTATGTTTGTCGTTTCTCCACATTGCAAGACAATCGAACTGCCACGACGTACGTAGATGCCCGAATCTTGCATGGGACGCAAAATCACTAATTCTGAGTCGGCAACTTTAGCCAATAATGATGAAAACAAAACAGCAGCCATAAAGCAGTCCCATATAGCGCAAAAGTACGTCATGCTAGAAGTAATTGATATACAGAATATTTATTACATGGAATCAATTTACGCAGGAGGTGAAACGCTTGATTATGGAAGGGTTTGGCCGGGTGTCTCTGTCCAGGGTGGCTATAGTTGGAAGCACCATTCTCCAAACATCCTTGTTTCAACCGCAGCCAGCATTCGGCGCAATTGGGTGGGCATCAGAGATCTCCCGATTGTGACACGCCGATTGGTCAGTATTGAAAGACCACGATTGACAAATGCTCGCACTGATACACAGGATCGAGTTCGTTCTGGTCGTTCAGCGGCTTCCGTTCTCCTGAAAAGCATTGGCGGAAAAAGAGCGTATCACTTTTTCCGTAAGTTCCCTGCGCTGGGAAGTAAGTTTGCCCACGCGAGGCCCCAAACAACACTTAAAAGAGCGTTGAACTAGGTCTCAGGTATATCTTGAACAACCGATGAAAAACCTGCTGAATAAAAATTGTTCAAACAAGGTATAGGTGGGTATTATGTCCCATCCGAGGGATTAGTTCGAGCTCCCCGAGACGTACTTCATAATCCACGGATTCGAGACCGACATACCTCTTCGTGGCAGCCCCTTGGGCACGCTCATTAAGACTTACGTCCTTCGTGTGTCCCAAGTAGACAACTTTGTTGGTCCGACGTATGCTCAATAGGGTATCTGGAAATCCATGCAATTAATATGGTGGAAGCAAGGCCGACTCATCCCAGGAACCACCAATGGTCTTAGAGCCGACTTTTCATGATGAAGTAAGAATGGCAAGTTGGACGAGAGCCTGATAGCCAATTCCTGTTCATAACTACCCTCTTAGTAACTTACTGTTAGTTCTCGCAATTCAAAGGAAGGTGCCAGTTCGGTACAATTGCTTTGCTGGGGTGTTGCTGTTTTACAGGCAGCCTCTGAAAGTCGTCGAAGGCGGAATTTCCTTCCAGAAACATGTGGTTCTTCATAACCCTTGAGGGGAAATTAAGATGATCCGATACATTCCGCGCCAAATTTCGTGCATGTTTATCCTCACAAATTGATTGACTCAGCATTATAACAAAAAAGTTGTTTTCCAACTGGTGGGTGGCCTACACTCAGAAGTGTTCATAACGTCACAGTCAGAATAAACGCATTACTGGTGAGGTTTGTAGGTGCAAGTGATTGTGCGGAAAATGGACTGTGCCATAAACAGTGGGTATTATCCAATACGTTCGTTAGGATTTGAAGATGGTGAGTAAAAACAAAATGGGAGGGCAAACAGTGGGCATCTCTCCCGATACATGATAAGACAATTGCAAATTACGGGAAATTAGGAGCCATAATAATCGAGTTGGTGAGGCAGCATATTTGGCGTACGCAATCCGATCAATCTGAACTAAAATATAAAACCAGTGGTGTGGCCTTGTGGCCTTGGACCGTTAGGCCGATGGCCAGCAGCACGAAAATCATAGGTGTGGGCGATGAAGTGGAGGAATTAGCAATGCGGCTAAATGGTAGCAGGAATCTCAAAACCGTGGTGTACAGAGAAACTCTAGAGACCTGGTTTCGCTGATTTAGTGGAGTCAGGTGTAAAAGTTGTTTGGAAGAGTGAGTTGGTGGCAACACACTAGCAGGAACGTGGACCGTACAGATAATTATTGACTTTGTGGAGAGCACAGACTGAAAATCTGCCGAAATGGTCAATCCCGAAAGAACCAGTAACGCCTTCAGGCGAGAGTCGCGTATACTGACGGTGGAGGGCCAGGAATCTCCCTGAATATGTATATACATTTCTCACATTGTGTTCAGTTCCGGAAGCAGTAAGTAAATGCGCGTGATTTGTTTGGCTGATGAGGTGGGTTTTAGTGTGTTGCGGCCCCAACTATGATGAAGGCAACCAGAGCTCTGCACGTCGATGTCGGCCGCGGCCACCGCAGTGTTCCCAGGCCATCTTATCTTTGATTAGCGAATTTCTTTTTTAACAGGTGAAAACGCAGTTCTGACCGTCTTTGTTTCATAGTGTTGCCACTTCAATTCCACAACGAGGACGAGTATGGCCCAGCAGCAACAAGCGGAAAACAGCGGTGTTTTATGATGGATTTCCTGAATTAAAGGCCATGCTCATAACCGACGGCGATGAGCGGAGCATCCGTGCTATTGGAAGGGTGGCGCGGAAACGACGCGTCATCGTGCAACAAAACATGACAACTTCCTGTAGGACGTGTCGGCCACCACACGAAATTTTCGGCCCTTGTGCGTGCTACCAGATCTCAAGGCTGTATGCCACCAATCAGCCATTTTTGCGACTTATGCATTGATAAACAACTCCAGCTATCAGATATTTTATCCGGTCAGGAAAAAATTAGGCCAGTAAAACAGCTCAGTCACTTCAAACAGGCAAACGTCAAATAGCCGCTGGAAAGGGTAAGTCACGGAAGAGCCAAATGAGGCGCACCTGCCCTTGGGACGATGGCAGCAGAACGGAGTAGCCCAGAGCATACGAACCATGGCTAAACGATGAAGGGGTGTGAGCTACCAGGCCAGGCAAAGAGTACCGCAATGCCATGTGTGAATTTGGGTAATGGTGTATAAAACTTTCAAATCCACGCGATATTTTCAGATAAACTGGTTGTTGCATTAGTTCAATCATTCAAATCTTTCAAAGGGGTGAAAGCGTCTACGGAAATGACACTTATGACGTGCTTTTGCGCGTAGATGCAAAACAGGAGCAGTGATATTTTGTGTTTTAAATGGTTCTGCATTGCATTCCCAGAAGAGAACAGTAATTTTGGGCGGCAATTGTTGTGTGCATTATACCGCATATGCATAACCTCTTGTTGTCAATCTAACTAACGTGGTTTTTCAGAGGCATTTAATTCAGTTTGCCTATGCTGTCAAAAGCACGTGGCGTCTCAAGGGTCCTCATGCACAACAATCTGCAAAATCTGTAGTTGTGAAGAAGCTAGATAGAACGTAGTATCAAACTTTGTTCCAAATCCTCAGCCAGCTATTTCCAGCAACGTCGGATTTGGGATACCCTCCTCTTAATTTGCACGCATGCGCAATGTTCATGCTGTGGGATACGTTCAACTTTGGTGAGCAACCAAAAGATTATTGAGCTTCCTTGACTCATAGTGGCGTTATATGACTAACCCTGTTCTCAGCAGATCCGACCCTGTATAAACTTTAAATCATCTGACGATTTCACGGCAAGCTCTGAGGGTTCTACAAGTCTCCATGTTTTTTCGCCAACGTAATACAAATTTTGTCGGACGAAACTATCTTGGAACACAGGTTGAACACAGTTTGCAGGACGTTTAACACTCTGATCAGTTAGAATCACATAGGTTGCAAAAATTGGGAATAAGCATTTTCAACAAGTTCATGTACATTTTTGTGAAATATTCGGTGTTTCTGTCCTGATAATTATACTGAATGGGTCTTATCGTGTTACAAAGATGGAGTTTCGTGCATCCACCCATACAAACGTGCAATTTTTGCGTTAACCAGTACATTAACTCACAGCGGATTATTCTTGCCATTGTGGCTTAAATTCACTTTGACGATCCTTTCACTTGGACGTACCTATCGCACTACAAAATCACAAAAACGTCCAAAGCTCAGACTACTATATGGTAAAATGGTTTGACGACAATCCAACGCGCTTTCCCAGTAAATGTACCTTCTTCAGCAAAGACAGCAAACCTTAGTTTTGAACCTCTCTGCCTGAAGTTCCTATGGAAAGAGTTCTGGCCTTGTTGGAAGATTCCAATGATCGCACGGTGCGGAGCTGGAGGTGCACGCAAAAGCAGACGATCAGCGACTTGGTGGTGAAACCAGATATCTAGTGTGTGACTCGGAATTTGCACGTGCTCTTTTATACGTATTTCGATATCACTGAATGGAGGTACACAATTATTTAAAGATTATCGAGCTAGAGTTGCCCCGTACTGGAGTCAGTTATTGCTCTTGCCTTTTGAGACAAATCGCCTTGTACTAAACTTGAACCTCCATAGGATCACAATTTGATCTTGCTCGTCGGGTGCAAAGACCTGGTATCAATCACAGCACTTGTGACTTGCAGTATGGTGAATCTCAATGCGGATCAATGAAATGACGTTTCGTGTGGGTGAGATAGCTTGGATCAAGATCAGGTGAACAAGTAAATACCTGGCCTCCACGTGCAATGTACCAGCAATCTTTGAATTCAGTTACTCCTTACAGTGGTGGAGACGGTCACGTAATAAGTGGAGCAGTTGTGCGCTGAGTGGGTTGTGGTACCGAATATGTAAGGCTTGGTTGAGTCCTGGCCTAAGCTACACTGTGGACCTTCCAGCACGCGACGATGAAGATTTGGAATCTTTTCGGAGGTCGATACCAGGCCAGACTAAGGCGAAAACGCCCTGGTTCGTTTTCTGAAATCAGCTTAAATCCAACACCTAGTGCTGGACTGCAGAACAATAGAAGATCGTGCTTGCTTTGTTTACTTGGTCTGAAATCGCGCACCGCGTTCGACCAAAGAAAGAGCGACAGCTGGTAGCTATGGCGGAATATTTTTGCACATATGTGTCACACGCAACAGCAGGGATCCTAGACCAGTTTTAATGACGTACAGTTGTTAAGAATTGTTGATCTTAGTCTAGATTGTCTGTAGCGCCTTTTCATCTACCAGTTCGTCTTCTAATAGGGGCCATATTACTCTCAAGATACTCTGAAACTGTCTCGCCCTCCACGATATCTGGCTTTCGATACGGAGAGCACCCATTAGCGTTCGCGCTCCAGGAAATGGATGGCCAAATTATCGAGCTCCCATTTTCGGAAGCATTCTTTCACGTCGGCTTCAGCCAGATTAAGATTTGACCCGTTGCCTCTATGAGCTTTCGCTGGACCGCATGTCTAGCAACAAATATTGAGAACGCGCAGAAACGAATTAATAGCCAATTTTGTCTTCGGTGTAAATAGCGTGGCGTTTTGCGCAGATGAACGAACAGCCATACGGCTCCTCTGTGCCACGTCTTCGTTTGTCTAACGAC